AGAGCAGAAGCTTCAACACGGTTAGGTTCAGCCCAGTGCTGAAATTATTTCGAAAAGACTGAGCAAACTCATTTATCTGTTCTAGAGTTGGGCAAGTATAAAACAACCTTCTAACCTTTTCTGCATTCCAGGAAGAAAAATAGTTTAAGGCCCAAATTCTGCCCTTAACCACATGTCAGTGGGTGTTGTATGCATGAATCAGAGGCCAGACTTTGGCCCTAAATATTCTAAATTGACATATAGCTAGTTTTCATTGATTGATAACCTCTTCAAATTACAAAACTGACTTCGCTATGTTATTCTTATTTATCAAGAGATGCTTGAACACATGCCTAGATGATTTTCTTGAAGTTTTAAAATTCCTGTAACTGCTTCCTGAGCCACAAACATAAGTATACAGAAAAGAGGAACTGTGGCAAAATGAATAATGGAAAGAATGATATTTTCTTTACAAGTTTAACTGCATATTTCCACTGCCCGCACAATTCTCTTTGGGTCATATTCTACCATTCTTACCACCTTACTTGATGAATAGACTCACTGAGGAAAGGTTAAAGGTATGTTTGAATATGAGTAAGCATGGCAGAATCTGGCTATTTGTTAGCAAATGTGGTGATGTACAGATGTTGAACTGTTAAATCATTAAGGAAAATACAATTTTTCCAACATCAGTATAATTGCAGTAGTTCTGTTGCACAAGATCACATCTGCTGGCATAGACTAAGATTTCATCTGCTAGCACATACTAAGATTAAGTTGTAAAGCTTCAATGTTTGCACTTGTCTCTTCTCATGTGAGAGATGGTACCGTCAACAGCATAATGCTGCCTAGCAACAAAGTACTAAAATATAGTGGGGGAGGAGAAATACAAAATAGAAGCTATTTTATATCTAAGCATACTTACCTCTACATGAATATTTTTCAATATTTGCCATGGGGCATTGGTAGGCTGTTTAATATTAAGGGCCCACAATCCTGCAAACAGTTATGCCACGTGCTTTCTTTGGACTACTCGGGGTACTAATGTTAAATACATCTGTTAGTGTTTGCAGGATCAGGATTATGTTCTTAAGGCCTACTACCTTAATGGCTAATTGGTTTTTGCTTTCATATCTAGTTGCTAAAATATAAAAGACTGCAATTTAATTATAAGCATACATTTCCCTTCCATTTTCTGTTTCTTTATTAGGGCATAATTTTGGAAATACTTATGCATGTGTGTAATTTCACTTGCATAAGCAATCCTCCTTAAGGATCAGGTCCTTTTCAGATTTCACAAGCTCCACAGAGCTATTATTCTATATTATTTCACACCAGCTATTATCAATTAAAGGCAAAGTATAAATTTAAAGAACCTTACTTTTTTGAACAAGAAACTAAAAATACATAATATTGTTAGTAATAGGGCGGACTCTGGTAGAATGGGGGACTTCACCCAGACATCTGTTGGAAAAATAATACAGCAAAACAGAAAATTTCCAGTACGTTCTTTAAATGTTATGGAGACAACTTTTTGTTTCAGAAAATGGAGGAAGTAAACAAAGGGACAACCATTTTAGACTTGATTCTGACCAACAGGGAGGAATTGGTGCAAATTTGAAGGTGGCAGGTAACTTTGGTGAAAGTGATCATGACATGATAGGTTTCATGATGCTAAGAAGAGGAAGTAGTGAGAGCAGTAGAACAAGGGCAATGGACTTTTTTTTTAAAAAAGCAGACTTTAACAAATTTAGAAAACTGGTAGGGGTAAGGTCCCAGGGGAAGGAATATAAGGAAAAAAGGAATTCAGGAGAGCTGGCAGTTTCTCAAGGAGACAATATTAATGGCACAACTGCAAACTATCCTGATGAGAGGGAAAGATAAGAAGACTTATAAAAGAGGCCAGTATGGCTCTATCAGGAGCTCTTTAATGACCTGAGAAATCAGAAAGTAATCCTACAAAAAGTGGAAACATGGATGAATTGCTAAGGAGTTGTACAAAAGAATAGCAAAAGCATATAGGGATAAAATCAGAAAGGCTAAGGCACAGAATGATTTTTACCTACAAGGGGCATAAAGCAAAATAATAAGAGGTTCTTTAAATACATTAGGAACAAGAGAAAGACAAAGGAAAGTATAGGCCTTCTAGTTAGTAGGGAAGGAGAACTAATATCTGATGACATTAAAAAGGCTTCAGTTTTCACTCACAAGGTAATGGTGACCAGTTAATCAACATGATTAATATGAACAACAAGGGGGAAAGAATGTGAGCCAAAATAGAGAAAGAACAGGTTAACAATATTTAGATAAGTTGCATGTACTCAAGTTGGCAGGGCCTGATGAAATTCATCCTAGAGTACTTAAGGAACTAGCTGAAGCAATCTCGGCGCCATTAGCAATTATCTTAGAGAACTCATGGAGGATGGGTGAGGTCCCCGAGAATGGAGAAGGACAAACATAGTACCTATCTTTAAAAAGGGTAACAAAGTGAACGGGAGGAATTATAGACCAGTTAGCCTAACTTTGATACCTGGAAAGCTACTGGAAGAAATTATTAAACAATCAGTTTGTAAGCATCTAGGGCATAATAGGATGATAAGGAATAGCGCCAGTATGGATTTTTCATAAACAAATCATGCGAAACCAACCTGATTTCCTTCTTTAACAGGATTACTGGCCTAGTGTCTGGGAGGAAGCAGTAGACCTGATATATCTTGATTTTAGTAAGGCTTTTGACACAGTCCCAGCTGACATTCTCATAAGCAAACTAGGGAAATATGGTCTAGATTAAATTACTATAAGGTGGGTTTAAAACTGGTTGAAAGATTGTACTGAAAGAATGGTTCACTGGGGTCCCACATGGGTCAGTCCTGAGTCTGGTACTATTTAATATTTTCATTAATGAGTTGGATAATGGAGTAGAGAGTTTGTTAAGAAAATCAGCAGATGACACCAAGCTGGGAGGGGTTGCAAACACTTGGGAAGACAGGATTAGAATTCAAAACTATCTTGAAAAATTGGAGAATTGGTCTGACTCTAACAAATTCAATAAAGAGAAGTGTAAAGTAAAACACTTAAGAATGCATGACTACAAAATGGAGAATAACAGACAGGTAATAGTTGCTGAAAAGGATCTGCGGTTAGAGTGGATCGCAGACTGAATGAGTGAACAATGCGATGCAGATGCAAAAAAGGTTAATATTCTGGGCTATATTAACAGGAGTGTCATATGTAAGACACGGTAGATAATTGTTCCATTCTACTTGGCACTGGGGAAGCTTCAGCTGGAGTACTGGGTCCAATTCTGGGCGCTGCACTTTCAGAAAGATGTGAATAAATTGGAGAGGGTCCAGGGGACAACACCACAAATGATAAAAGATTTAGAAAACTTGACCTATGAGGAAAGGTTAAAAAAATGGGCAGGTTTAGTTTTGTGAAAAGAAGACCAGCAGAGGACCTGATATTAGCCTTCTAATGTGTTAAGGGCAGTTATATGGCGGACTGTGATTAATTATTCTCCATGTCCACTGAAGGTAGGACAAGAAATAATAAACTTAACCTGCAGCAAGAGAGATTTAGGTTAGATATTAGGAAAAACTTTCCAGCTGGAAGGACAGTTAAGCACTGGAATAGGCTTCCAAGGGAGGTTGAAGAATCCCCATTATTGGAGATTCTTGAGAACAAGTTGGACAAATATCGATCAGGGATGGTCTAGGTTTACTTGGTCCTGCCTCAGCACAGGGAGCTGAACTTGATGACTTCTTGTGGTCCCTTTCTGCCTTATGTTTCTATGATTCTATACATGCAGGTCATGGCATGATTTATGTGAACATTTTCCCTTTATTTTTGCATTTCTAGAATCTATTCACAATAATATTTTATCAAATATTTCTATGCATTTATCCATTAATTTTAACACTGAACTTTAGATCAGAGACGTTTCCCCCCTTTTTAGTGATATGAAATAATTACACACAGCCGATGATGTCATTAAAAGAATCCATTCCAAAATGGAGCTTCATGGATACAGGGAAAGAGCATAGAGTTGATAATGGCTTTGAAGCACCCAAACAAGGTTTTTTTTAAATCAAAATAACCAAACTGTCCTAGTGCTTGACAAACAGTTTGTGGAATGTTTGAGTTTGGTTTTATTTTTCCATTGGAACAGTTTCTGCTTGTTGTTGTTGTTCAGCGACTGTTCAATTTTATCCTGTATAAAGGACTTTGGGCTGCTTTTATTTTTAATTGTATTTTGAGGCTCAGTGAATAACCAGGGTTGATACTAAAGTGTATTTTAACTAATATTTTTTTAAAATCCCATATCTGTTACCCTTGCGTCTTATTTCTTGGGGGGGAGGGGGTCACAAGAGCATCATTCAGGTGCAACTGGCCGCCCTTCTCTTCTAACTACTGTTACTGCTGCTGAAGGTGATCCTTGTAATCCAACAATATACAGGTGTATATTTTTCATGTATTTAATGTGATTATACAGGCAAAATCCTTACTGCTGTATTATATGTGTGTAGACCATATTTATGATATGTGCATGTATCATACCTATCCATGTGGCTGCATTATATATGTCTCTGTACAGCTGGTGTGTGCATGTAAGCATTTCATCTGAATGTAGGTTTATGCGTTGTCTGGGGTTCTCAATACAGTACCACATAAACATTAGAAAATCATGATTTAGGCCCCCAAAATCATGAGATTTGCTTAGAAAATCAAGTGTTTAAAAACCAAAAACTTAAAACAAATAATTTTTGAACCTTGAGGTAACATTCGGGTCACATTTTCAAGCTTTTCTCCCCAACCATAAAGGTTAGAAACTTAAACAACCCCCTGGGAGATTTTTCACTCAATCACATGCTCCCGTACAAGCTGGGGATTCAAGAAAACCATGCGAACTGGCAATATTGTCTATGTATATGAAAGCACCGTATGTGTGTATACATTGTGTGCATTGTTTTATATACATTTATCGTTGTGTATATTGAGTGTGGATTCATGTGTATGCGCATTTGTCACTCTCCTTGTGTGTATCTGCATGCTTGTCTGTGTGTCAACATATTTGCATAAGCATTGTGCATTTCTGCATACGTATTTGTGTGCACGGTGTGCCTTTTGAACACGCACGGGTTTACACGTTGTCTAGTTGCACGCCCGGTGTATGTGCGCCTGCACTGTTTCTGTGCCAGTGGAGTCACAGCCGTTGCTGCGAGACTGAAGGCTGTAGTCTAGCTTCGGCGAGAAAGGAACCTGCTAGCACCGACCGCCCTTATCTACCAACTGCAGAGGGCGGCTGCCGCTGCCTCCTCCTCCCCGTGTGTCACGTCTTCTCCATTCAGCCCCCAGCATCGCCACCGACGCTGCAGGGAGGACCACCTAAAAACAAACAAACCCTAACAAATCCCAAACTCGAGGGGCAGAGACCAATACTCCCAAGCACGCCATGAAGGGCGATGCAGGCGGTAGGTTGGTGGCATCGGGACCTGTTTTCTGCACTGTGTTGCCGATCCCCGGCTCCCCCTCCTCTCCCCTCTCCATACCGCGGGGCTGGCGTGGCTGGCGCGCCTGACACTCCCTGCTCTTCTCGTGGGGGCTTGTGACAGGCGGGCGGATGGATTGATGGTGGCGGCGGCAGGAGGCCTGGCCGGGCTGCGGATGCGCAGGGACCGGATCCCATCTGGTGCATCGGTACCTTGTCCCCGGGCCGCTCCGAGCTGCCGGGTGAGGCGGGGGCGTGACATTCTCCCTCCCTTCCAGCTGCGGGACCGCTGTGCACCCCCCCTCCAGATGTGGGAGCCGGCGGGAGGGGCTCTCGCTCGGCGCATCCCCGGCCCGCTGGAAGCGCGGGGGGAGTCAGGGTGCAGCGAATCCCGGGCAGCAGCGAGCGGGCCAGGCCCTGGGGGCAGGCAGGGAGCCGGAGGGCACCGCCTGCTTGAGAGCCGCTGATGGCCGGTTCCGATGGGTGAGGAGCCAGGTCGCCACCACCCGTTTTCATTGCAAATGGCAGCACCTCTGGGTTGGCGCCTGCCTGTCACCTGCTTTTTGTCAATATCAGGCAGGAGCCATTGTTAGCAGATGTACCTTGCCCAGGGCTGCTCCCCTCAGGCCTCTCTCCCTGCGCCTGGCGCAGCGCCTGTGAGACTCTGGCCTACAGCAACTGCAGCTTCATGTGGCCCAGAGGTACAGGCAGGGTTGAGGGGGAACTCATAGGGCTATTTGGGCCCTTCCTGCATAATTGCCTATAAGACAAAAATACCGGCTTTTTAATCGCGTTGGTAAACTCCACCAATATTCTGCTTTATGTGTTTTAAAAAAAATCCAAGTGTTGGGCAAAGAAGCTGCTTGCTTTGTTAGTCAGGAGATGCACTTGGGATGGAGTGTAAATTCTGCCCTACTTTTGGGGCCCCTCGTGGGGGCACTTCACCTAGTTTGCACAAAATGGAGCAGATGGCTACTGCTGTTCTCACAGAGACCCCCACTATCAGCTTGTCTAAGGGGCAGCTCCGGGAGACTGCCGAGCCAGATATTTAATGCTCTATATCTGGGCTGCCAGTGGCTGGAAAGGGAAATATTCCATTTTTCATTCTAGTCAGTGGAGGGACTTATCAGTTTAGGATGACATACTCCCTATGTTTCACAGTGAATCTCTCACTGATGCTAAAGGAGTATGTGCAAAAGGATCATGGGCATACTATGGCCTTTGCATAGTAACTATACTTTTAGTTATTGTTTAGTATTTGTTCAGTGCCAATTGTTGCATTCAGAGGTCCTTAGTGAGAAAATATTCTCAATGAGAAAATATTGACTAATGCAATTTCACTGCCCTTTGTTTCTCTGCCTTCTAAATCCTCCCTTCTCTGTTTATTTCCCTTTTCATTCCCCGCCCTTCAGCAACTTCCAATTCTGATCTATCCCTACAGTGATCAGAAATGAAATAGATAATGTTGACATTGAAGTGTCCTCGTTTCTGAATCAATTCTAAAGCCCAATAAGATTAATGGAAGGAAAGGAAATTTTCATCTTTCCGAGGAGCTGTTTCAGGCTGTTTGCACACTCAGGCATACATCTTCACTGTCTATCTCCACGCTACCTGTTGTATCTCGTTCAATTTTGCAATGTTGACTCCTGACTGATCAGCCTGCAATGCCAGTGTCCATTGCCCACTTTCATTTACATTTTCAGACAAGCACCTTCATGCTGTCTGCCCTGCTGCTCCTCAAGCTTAGCTGGAGCTCCCTGTAAACACTTGCATTGTCACTTCATTCGTTTCCTTCAAATCTCTTCTCTATCATTGCTACACAAAACTTGACAAGAGTTAGGCTGCTGGTATGCTGAGACTACTGCCCATTATGCTGACCAGTGTTGTCTCATTGTTTCCTTGTACTCCCCCATCTGTCTGTATCCATCTGTTGTCTCTTGTCTTCTACTTAAATTGTAGGCTTTTTGGAGCAGGGACCATCTTTTTGTTCTGTGTTTGTAAAGCACCTAGCACAGTGAGGTCCTGGGCCATGACTGAGGTCCAAGATGCTACAGGAATACAAATAAATAATAATGATAACCACTGTATTGGTTAATAATTGGAAGGATTTCTTTGCAATCAGCAGGGTTAGAAACTTACTTTTTAAATGAAAGTTTGGGGTCTTTACAATCTGAATATCATGCAGGCCACATAAATATATCAGATGGGCCAGATCCATCACATGGGCTTTGTTTGATACCTCTGCTTTGTTTCAGTTTGAGGCAAGGCCCTATAAAATTCAGATTGTAGCATGAAATATGTGAGTTTGATTTGCAACCTCTGGTTGCTACAGACCCTAGCAGTGGTCTGTTTTGATCTGGCACAGCTTCTGGAGATTGCAGGTACTAACCTGTAATGCTTTGTATTGAGCTAAGTGGTATTCATTCTAATCCATCATGATGTGAATGCTGGGACCTGAATGCTTTGTGCCCTGTACCTCCACAGTAGTCTCAAGCTAAACTGTAAAGCTTGGTGGGTCACTTTTGATCTTCTGCCTATACTCTGGTGCACCCCTGCCTTAGCAAGGGTGTGTGTCTAGTGTTTTGGGGATAAAATTGTCTAAAAACATGAGTTAATAATAATAATATAATATAATATAATATAATATAATATAATTAATAATACATCAGTTCATCAAGAGATGCAAGTATCATGATCTTGAGAGGTAGGAAACAGATCTGATGCTCTCTTTTATTTGAAGGTAGATCTTTGAATTTTAGAATAATTTGAAATAATGAGCATCTGAGAAGTAATCGTTTTTGAAAATTATTTGGGTTCTTTTTGTGATGTTTAGGAGTTCAGACAGTAAAAAACATGGGATTTTTGTGGGGTGTGTAGGAAGCAAATAGAGGTGTTATGTTTACAAAGCAAAGTAAATTACCTTTACAGTTTTACTAACATAATACAGGGATTTGAATCTGCTGTAGGTTCTGAATATAAAACCCAGTTTTGGGGGAGAGAGCAAGTTCAGCCTCAGATACATTTTATACATTAAATCCCCCGGCTGCATTTTTAATGAAAATGTAGCACCATTCACTTGTAGTCTATTTTTCTTTTCTTTTTTCAGTATTTCCTACATTAGATGAAGTATCTGGATTCTGCTGATGGCGTTGTCTAGAAGGAAGTGTTCCCTTGTCTGTGATTGACAATTTTGTTAAGTCCAGATCCTCAAAAGTATATAGGTACCTAACTTCTATTGAAATTGATGCAAGTTAGGAGAAAATACTTTTTGAGAATTTGGGCCTGGGATTCAGTGTGCTGGACTTTTATTTTTGTTTCTTTCTTCTATCTCTTTCCACCTCCGCTTTTATATTTTTCTTCTTCAGAAATTCCTCCAAGTCCTTACAAAAAAGTATGGACCTTCACTTCCTAGGTTATGAGTCCAATTTGTTGTCTTCCCAAATATTGAGTGGTAGAGCGCAAACGGTAATAGGATAAAAAAGGTTATGACTGCAACCTTTGGTACCAGTAGAACCCCAGCATTACAAACAGCTGGGGAATGGAGGTGGTTCGTAACTCTGAAATGTTTGTAACTCTGAACAAAATGTTATGGTTGTTCTTTCAAACGTTTACAACTGAACATTGACTTAATACAGCTTTGAAATTCCACTATTCCAGAAGAAAAATGCTGCTTTCCCTTAATTTTTTTATTAGTTTACAGTTAACACAGTACAGTATTGTATTTGCCTTTATTTTTATTTTTTTTTGTCTTGTCTCTGCTGCTGCTTGATTGCTTACTTCTGGTTCCAAACGAGGTGGGTGGTTGACTGATCAGTTCGTAACTCTGATGTTCGTAACTCTGAGGTTCTACTGTAGTATTTTTCCTGTAATCATAAGAATGTGTTTTAAATGCCACATTTATTTACAAACAAACAAACAAAAAACACCACCACCACCACCAACACGCACCTCAGAAGCTTAAAAGGTTCCTGATTTTTCTTTCAAAATTTTGATTTTTAAGGATGTAGGTGTTAGTTGCTTTGGAAATCTACAAGTGCACTAATGGCTGGAAAGGGGTGTGGAGGAGGAGAATGATTTCTTTTAAGAATCATTAATATATATATATAAAAATATAATAATTATAAAAGAAAATAATCACTATTTATTTTATTTTTAAAATGTATTGGAATTTAAATAACAAAAAGATGTGTATACAAGACTCTCGATGCCTTAACACATAATTAGTAGTACAACAAAACCCTAGCAGCATTAAAATAATAATTCAAACAGGCACTCTGCCAGCCAGAAAGCCGCCTACGAAAATGCTCCTTTCCTCTTCTCTGTCGTTCTGGTAAGCAGAGCCGTAGTCCTCTCCAGAAGCCCCCCTCAAACAGATGTATTTTGCAACGTGCCCACAAGGTCACCAAATTTGATCTATTTTGGATAAAGGAGGGGGATAAGTTCCAGTATTCTGGACTCTCAGAGAATGCTTTGCTATCCACCTTCTCCTCTAATGAGTGGGATCCAGCCTGGATGCCTCTACTGATTGCAGCTGTGATATTACAGCATAGCAGTCCCTCAGGTATGCAGGTCCCAGGCCATTGGCTTTATAGGTCATACCCAACACCTTAAATTCCATCCAGAGTGCAATAGACAGCTGGGGCAGATCCCAGAGTACTGGTGTCACATGCTCCATAGAATCATAGAATATCAGGGTTGGAAAGGACCTCAGGAGATCATTTAGTCCAGCCCCCTGCTTAAAGCAGGACCAATCCCCAGTTAAATCATCCAACAGATTTTTGTCCCATATCCCTAAATGGCCCCCTCAAGGATTGAACTACCAACCCTGGGTTTAGTAGGCCAATGCTCAAACCACTGAGCTATCCCCCCAAGTTCAAGAGGCTCAATAAGCAAGTCACTATGTTCTGTACCAGCTTCAGTCGCTGAATGATTTTAAGGTGTAGCCCCACAGAGAGCATATTGCAATAGTTTAATCTTGATGTA